TCTCGCCAAGTTGCCCAGGTGAGTCTCGAACCCGCGAGTTCAGGCAATTCACTCACCTCGTCCTCCCAAAGTGTGGAATTACAGGCCGAGCCACCAAGCCCGGCCCAGATTACATGTTTAAGAGTAACTAACCTAGTGAGTCACTTCCACTTGCAGGAATGAGTTTGCAGTTGTGTGTTGGGGGAGAAACAGGTAAGTACAATTCACCTACATGCTGAAGACAACCACATCTCTCTTCGAGACTCCAAGCCCTTATTTCCATCTGCCTACCTTCTGAAAAATTCTTCCTGGATACCCCACAGGCATCCCAACTCAATTTCTCTAATACCAAAACAGCTCCCCCAAAATATGTGCCTTTGCATATTCCCTATTACTAGCCAACTGGTTGTCTAAACTGGGATCTCAGCATCATCTTCTTTTTCCTTTTTTTTTTTTTTTTTGATAGACAGTGCTTGCTATGTTGCCCAGGTTGGTCTTAAACTCCAGACATCAAGTCAAGTGATTCTCCCATCTCGGCATCCCAAAGTGTGGGATTACAGGCATGAGCCACTGGGCCTAGCCAAGTATCATCTTAAAGCTTCTCCCTTTCCCTCAATCCCACTATTCACATCCACTCGACTCAACTCTGATGCAACTACCAACCTTGATCCAGTTCAAACCTTATAGTGCCTGAGCTACTGCAATACATTCTCACCTAGTCTCCCTGCCACTGTCTCTGACCCTGATAAGCTGTCCTGCATGCTGGAAATATTCACTCTAAAACAAAAGATTGCACTATTCCCCTTTTCAAAACTTCTGACATTTCCTGTTACTCACAGGACAAAAATAGTATGGGACACGTGGCCAGTAAGGGAGGCCCAGAGGAAAGAACTCCTGAAAGGGACCCCATAGATCAGAGGACTTGGTAAGGAAAAAAAAACAAAAAGACCTTTGAAACACAAAGCAGACTATAACAGCTCAGAAAGAACACAGCCAGGCTCACCCAGTCAGGGCCAGGAGGCTAAAGGGCTGTGATGAGAAAGGGGCACGGCAACTAGCTACCTTTCGTGAAACCCAGTCAAAATGTCAGGGGGCCTTGAGCAAAGGCCCTAAGCCAGTCTCCCACAACACACAGGCTTGCACGTAGGCACCCCCACACCATGATCACCCATCACCACCAACTCCACCCTTCCCAGCAGGTCACAAACTCCCTGAAGGCCCCAATACCAAAGCACTTGGTCAGATAATTCCTCAAAGGGCACACAGGAATTCACAACTACACAGCCTAGTCAGATTCTACCTCTCCCCAAAGACCAAAACAGCCTGTCAGCGTGTCTAGGAAAGGTCAGGGCTTCTGGTGAGTCACATAGATACTGAAATCCTCACGCCCAGGAAAGTTATGCAAGCTCCCCCCATTATATTGACACTGATATCAATTTTTTTCATAATCACAGACAACTTTGATAAAGCTGTGTGAGCCAAGACCAGTTTCTCTCTGCCAGGAATTTTAGAGACCTCAAGTGACTGAACACCTGGGCTGAGCAGTGGAGCCCTGGAGACCTTTCTCAGTCTGGCCCATCTGCCACTCTACTTCCAAAGCAGTCGCCAGATGGAACAATTCCCATTTTCTAGAACCTTTGTTCATGCTGTTCCCTCTGATTGGGATCCCTTTGTTCAGTCCAGAAAAATCCTATGCATCCCGCTCCAACCACTGTCTCCTCTGGAAATCCTTAACCAGCCCTCACTCCCTACCTCACACCTTCCAAGGATTTGCTATAGCTCTTCCATGGGGCTTATCCACTGTACTATGAGTGAAGGAACTGCATCTTAGTCATCTATCTTCTGCACCTCAAAGGTACCTAGCCTCTCTCAAGCGCCTAATTCGTTATCTGCTGAATGAATTTATATGTCAGTCCATCTCCTCTGATAAGACAGCAGGAAAATGACAATGTTGTGTTGAAGTTATATTGAAAATGGTTTTCCATTCAATGAATTGCGGTCTCAATCCGGGCAGCTCAAAACCTTAGAGGGAAACTACATTCAACTTCTTGCAATCATGTACAAAGGTAGACACAGAATGAAAAAAACAATTCATGGCTCCTCCTCTACTGGGTGGGTTAGGGCTAATTTGCCCATGGATTTCCTCTGGTGTGGTAATGAAGGAAGTGTCTAAGGCTCATAATGTAGAGACTATTCTTGAATTAGAAATGTCAAGGAAAATATTTCAAGTTATTCTTAAAATAATGAGCTTTGAAAGCTATGGAACTCATTGTGAATTAAGGCCCAAACAGCCCAGAAAATGCTGAGCAATGTCAGAAAACACTGGAAACTAAACAGATTTTGCTGTCTATAACTGTATGGTACATATGCTCAGTACAGCAAGGAGTAACTAAAATGACAGATGGCCTGCCTGGGGAGAGACCCCTGGCAGACACAGGTCTCTGAGTGGAAAAGGTGGGGAAATATCACTGAAGTCTACCACACAGATTCATGTGATAGGACTTATAAGGACTTCTTAACAGAAGAGATTTCAAACATTTGAGACCAATAAAAAGGACTCTTACACAACATATATTTAAGCTATAAAAACAGTTTGCCTCAAGATGTAATTCAGATTATAATATGAATTATTTCAAGGGGAATCTATGTAGAGCTCATGAAAACTAGTTACCAGAATCTAATTAGTTTTGGACATATGTCGTAAGTAAGAAATCTGTGATGGAATGGGATGTATGCATAAGATTTCTGTTGCATACCAAAGGTATGGCTGTCTCCAGAAAAAGCATTTGTATAATTCACCGTTGCCGTATGAACTTAACTAGTCACATTTTTCGTGGAATACCATATTTACTTGAAAGAGCAACTGAAAAACTGTGGTTATTTAAACTTGTGTATCTGACCTACATTTTCTCAAAAATGAACAAAGTGAGCCTAACACTTAACAAACAGTATTTGTTGCCAATAATAAAATTCAAGCAAAAATGTGAATTTTGGAAAGTTGCTTCCCAATACTTAAAGATGCAAAAGATAAGTAAGGAGATTTTTTTCTTTGTTTGCTAAATGGTACAAGGTTTTAGAAATAGATTCAGCTTAACAACCTCACAGCATCTTATATGTTTTTGGTTTTCACTCTTCTTACTGGCTTTAATAACTTTTATTATAAATTATAAGACCCACAAAAACAGAATAGCTTAAGCTGTGTCAACCTAACTGCCTACAGAACATTTGCAACATTTTTTTACATTATATCAGTGATTGTACTATGGCAAACGTTAAGCATTCAAATAAGAAAAATGTATCCGAATTTAACATCAATTGAATTTTAAGAATCTATAATTAATATATTAATGCACTAACCAAAACAAAAGAATGACTATAAGATAAATGGATGAATTCTGATTTCCTGTGGCTAGCTTTTTGGGCAACATAACTTTAAAATGTTACTCAAAAAACTAAGGAAGTGGGAAAATTGTTATCTAGGTATGAAAAAACTTTGAACCCAAAATCTTTCAAAGTTAAATGCTTGGTAAAATAGCATCCCCCAAAGATGTCCAACTTTTAAAGAGTTACATGAGAAAGTAAAAACTGCTATAGAATGAAGAGGTCATGTATAAGACTTCCAAAATACCAAACAATTTTAGCCTTTGCTGAATATCTTGAACATCAGATCCACTAAGCTACCACTGTTATTAGTATTACAGGCTTCCAGGGAGTGTCCTGTTTTTGCTTTTGGCCTAAAGGAAAACTGCAATAATGTTAAAAATATTCTTAAAGCTTTACCCTAAAACTTCTACTGTGGGATACATCAAGGTTTCAGTAATCTGAGTCTTCTCAAGCATCATTTCCTGAGCTTATACATCTTACTTGAATCCAAAAATGTAATAAAGAGAAAGTTTCATTGTAATTTTAAGAAATGAGGTAATCTGGATGGGGAAGCATCTTCCTTCCCCCACTGCAATTCAGTACAATAATCTAGGAAGCCCAGGAAAAGGCCCTGAGAATAATCCCATCTCAAAAGTCTGCAGGTGTTTTCAATCTATGAGGGGTATTACATTTTTAGTTAACTCGGGAGAAGCAGCCCTGCTCAAAAGACTACTAGTATCTAACAAGAAACGAGAGGAGATGCACACTGTTACCAATTTAACACTAAACACAGAATAACCAGGAAAAACCCAGAAAAGTTTGGGAAATATGATGTGTTTCAATATCCCTGTGAAGTTCCTAATTTTCATTCACTAGAAATGAAACAAAAGGGGGATGAGGAACTGGGATATTTAATAAACAAGCTAATTCAAGTAGATTTTACAAAAGTATATTGAGGACCAAAGGAAAAAAAATGAAAGATAAACAGATTAAGATTTTAAACGACAAACGCCTCACATAATTGTTATTTTAATCACTATTTTATCTCAGAAGTCATCCTAACAGGTAGCAGAGGCAACATACCCTTGAAAAGCAGACCCAAGCAGACTAAAATAATGCAGCATTGTTTTAACAAAACAACTCATCGCCTACAAATTCTCGAAGTATGGCACAAATGTTCATTGACCCCATTCTAAAAAAGCGACCTAGAACACTAGAAAACGTACATTCTTGGACTCAATCACACTCCCTGCTGTTGCTTTCTCCATCCTATTTTTACAACCAGTTCCTGTATCTGGGGGTGTCTGAATAAAACTACACTTAAGCACTGAGCTTAAGCGTAAAGACCTGATATGAAATGGATAAAACTGTCGTGAACACTCAAGGAGACGACCAGGGCATCCCGGGCCATCACACCTCATTTCGCGATGTCCATGTAATGCAATCTTCTAAGTTATTCAAACGTGCACCAACAAAATTCACATACCAAAGCCATGCCCCGAAGCAGTTTATTTGACACGTCTGAAATAACATTTCAAATAAAACGCTTTCTGCGGGCCTCGGTTGAAGCAGCTTCCAAATCCCCGAAGTAACATCCTCAACAGCCTGTGTTTCCTGCGGTGTGACCTGGTGAAGCGAGGGTGTGTCTCGGTGCTTACCGATGCCCGGGGCCACATAGATGAAATAGAGACAAGACGAGGAGAGGGAGAAGAAGAAGATGAAGGCGAGGAGGGAGCGATTGGAGACCCGCATCATCCGCCGGAGCACAGACATCTTCCTCTTCCCGGCCAGCCGCTCGGCTGCGCTCTCGGGCCGGGCTCGGGGCCACCGTCCAGGCCCTAAACTTCCATGAAGGCGCCGAGAGCCCCGAGACTGCAGCGGGGACCGCGCGGGAGGCTCCGGGGAGGGGGCG